TTATTATTAAAACTAGATGATTTCAGATTAGCAATAAACAGCTGATTACAAATGGCTGATCTGGCACGTTGCTTTAAAAAAAATGGTAAATATTCGAGTTTTAGTGTGCATTTTTTGCACAATTTTTTCAAAAATATTTCAATACAAAATTTTTTTATTTCTTGCTAAATAATAACAATACTTTTTTAATTGGTAATTTTGCAAAAATATAAAAACATTACAGTTACATTTCATGGTTATGTTACTGCTACATCAATGTTAAGTAAGCACCTAGGTAACCTAAGTAACTATGATATAAAACAATTATATTGATTAAAAACGTGAGATTAAAACAAAAATAAAAACAATAATGTTAACAACAATGATTAAAATGATAATATAAAACAATTTTTTAATAATCCAAAAAAATAACAATAAAAATAATAACAATGATAATTATAATAATATATGTAATGGTAAATAATTAATAATTATAATAGTTATGTAATAAAAATAAAGAAATAAGTAAACAATAAAAATATATATGTAAGAAATTCTTATATATATATATATATATATATATATATATATATATATATATATATATATATATAGTTTTTTTTTTTTTTTTTAAATAACATCCCACTTACAACAACAACAAAAATAACAACACTTTTATTAAATAAACTTATAAATAAAATAAAAATAAGTGATAAACCAGATGATATACAAAAATACTACAGTAACATAAAGAAATATTTTTTTCTTTGTTACTGTAATACATTCTTTTTCTTTTTAAAATAGTTCTAACATTGTTCCTTACTTCTTTTCTTCCTTAGATGTTGTGGTTATTTTTTATTTTGGTTTTCTAGTGTTTTAATATTTTTGCTTATTTATTAATTTTATTATCATTATTTTTCTTCTCTTAACTTTCTATACTTCTTTTTTTATCTATTAATTTTTCCATCTTCTTTTTCTTTTTCCAAAAATTCCTTCTAAAGAAGTGAATCACAGCAAATAGCTGAACAAGACATTGCTTAATAACCTAAATAAAATACCATCACTTGTGTTAATTAAATAAATTATTATTTTACAAAGTACATTGCATTAATTCAAGTTATTATAAAGAAAGAGTGTAAAAAAATAAAATATATAAAATTAAAAATTCTATTTTTCAAAGCAAATATTTAAAAAAAATTTTAGACAAATTTTTGAAACACCTGTCAAACGCATATGTGTTTAACACACATGCGCTTGACAGGTGGAACTGGCTTCTTGGTTTCATATTGTGGTACAATCACTAATACTAAAAAAAATTTTCACAAAAAAGATTTGCACATTCCTGTAGAATCTTTATTATTAGATTCACAAACAATATAAGGAAACAGTTCCTCATATCATTTGTATTGTGACACAAAGAAGTAAAAATGGCTTTATAATTTGATTAATGATACACTTATACAAAATGATACACTTATACAAAATGTGTTTGAAAAATACAAATTAAAACATTTTAACAAAAGTAAACCATGTCAGATAGCTAGACCTACAAAAATCTTGACCTACAAAAAGTTGTTCTACAAAAAGAACATCTAATAAAAAGTGGAACTAGTTTCTAGATAATGTACTGAAGCCTTAGTTGTTTTCAACTGATTATAGTCTTTTTTATTTTCAACAAATTTATGACGTTTTTGTTTTGGACCAATTTATTTCGACCAATTTAAAAGTTTTTTATTTTTATTCAATTTGAGATAAATAAATAAATAATAAAATAAGATAGATAAATTCATTTTCAACCGATTATTAAATCTTTTAAAGTTGTTTTTTTTAAATAACTAAACTTTTTTTTTTTTCAAATTAACAATCAGTAAGTTTTCCAAGCATTAATTGAACCGTATACCTCCTATTTCGGAAAACAGCGGTTCAACCACTGCACCAAGGCTGATCAAATTTGTATTCAAATCAATAACAAAATATAAAAAATACATACCGAATAGACATAGTTGTAAAATTGAAAATACACTAGGTTGAATATTAAGTAGGTTGACAATTCAGTAGGTCAAAAATACAGTAGGTCAACAATTTAGTATGTTGGAAAACTAGTAGTACATGTTTTAGTTAGGTAGAAAAATAAAAATCAAAAATTGTCAGTTGAAAATCAAAAATATCAAAATCTACAACATAGGAAGTTTGAAAACTAGGTTCAGTTATAGGCCACCAAACAAACTGTTCTTAATAAATATGAAATTGTAATAATGAACAGATTAGTTAAAAACATTTTATATTCTATGATAATAAAGTTATACTTTTATTTTAAAGAAAAAAATTTAATCTGAACATAACTTGCATAATGCAAGCAATATTTTTATCATTATTATTTTATCAATATAATAATTAATAAAATAACATTTTTATAAAACAATGAACAATATATATATATATATATATATATATATATATATATATATATATATATATATATATATATATATATATATATATATACATAATTTATGTTATTGCATCTTACAAATGGAGTGCTTAATGTTTTAAACAGAGCTTTGGAGCTGCTCTGGAACTGGAGCCGGAGCTATCTGGAGCTGGTGAGCTGAAGCTGAAATATTTCAAGGTTAAGCTGACTCAAGAGCAGACTACAAGCTCCTCTTTTTAATAATCTAGCTGCAATTTATGTTGATGCTAGTTGTAGAATATTGTTAGAAGAGAATCAGACATGATTAAGCCTTAAAAACAATATCAGAAAATAACTTATATTAGAGATGTTGAAATATTAACAGTAAGTCAAGAAATAAGAAAAATCATGTACAGCCCTTTATACTGTTTTAGGTAAATCTAATTCTGATGAAGAATTAGACAAAATTTGAAAAAGAGCTTGATAAAAAGTTAATATCAAGCAATTTTTATATAGCTTTCAAAACCTAATATTTTATAAATTATTTTATTATTTTAATTCCTAATTTATATATATATATATATATATATATATATATATATATTATATATATATATATATATATATATATATATATATATATATATATATATATATGTATGTATGTATGTATAAACTTGTGTTTTTTTGTTTTTGTATGCATTTAGGTTGATTAGGTTGTTTTTGTATGCATTTAGGTTAATAGTTAAAATTATACAAATAGGTCAGAAAATTTTATAGGCTGATACAACATAGGCTTCTTTTGATAAAATTCTTGAAACTTGTCTATTCTTGGTTTATTGATGGTTTTTGAAAAAAAATCCTTAAAAGCGCAGTAAAGACGCAGACTAGTAGGTTGAATTAAATATCGCTAATAATGGGTTGAAAATCAAATCGAGTCTGTCGAAAATTAGTCTCTAAAATAGGTTGAGAAAAAAATCGGTGGAAATCATGGCCAACTGTATTGTCACATGACCTACTGTATTGTCACTTGGCCATGGTCGAAATGGAAAGCGTCATAAATCGGTCGATTTAAAAAAGGCTTATAATCGGTTGAAATCAATTTTAGCCTCAGTCGGACATCTAAAAATTATTTCCACCTATTAGTTGATGTTTTAATTCGTAGATCAAGTTTGTAGGTGCAGGTTTTTGTAGATTGAGCGATGCGACACGATCTCTGATTTAAAACTTAATTTATGCTGACTCAGAAATAGAAAAACTAAAACGCAACATACTTTATTGCTTCATAGAGTTCATTAAAAAGCGAAATGAATAAGTAAAACTTTCATTGTAATAGTTATCAATTAATGCAAAAAATAAGTGTCTACACGTCATTGGTTATTAATAATCAGCAAATAAATAAAAAATCAGTTTGTTTTTTTAGTTATTATTTGTTTGTTCTTTTTAAGATTTTTTAAATCTTTTTTATTTTAACTATTTTTATTAAATTCTTTTTATTACAAAAAGTTTCTAATATTTTATATATAAAATGTTTTCTTCAGTTGTCTACATTTATTGTAATAGAAGAAAGAGCAAAACCTGCTCGACAAAGATTATTGGTAGCCAAAAATTTCAGCCACACAAACACTAATGGCCAAAGCATAAGTGGACGTCTACATTTTCTACACTTATGCATGTTATATAAATCAGAATTTTTCGCCTTTGATATTACTAAATTAAAAAACATAAAGAAGAAAAAAAGAAGAAAAATAAAATTGCAATGATATTACAAACGGTTATAGTGATTTAATCATCATATTATGTATAGTAGTAACAATGTATTACGTTTAATTAAGATACTACCAGCAATATTTGTGTAAGCATTATTGGTAACACGTTACATTAAATTGCGACACTCTCCCTTTAACTACTCAATAGTAGTATATTTTTTTTATGTTCGAATGTTCAATTACATTTTAACTTGAATGGCATAACAACCGCAATTTGAATTGACTTCCTTGTCGGCTGCAATTGAATCATTTCTGTAAGATTTTACTCACTTCTTTAAAAAAAATATAGTTTTAAGAATTTTCTCCGAATCTTAATTTATTTACTATTGCTATAAGCAATCGTTTAAAACTTAAAATCGTTTAAAATTAAAATATTTTAAAACGTTTATTTTATGTATGTTTATTATGTGTATATTTAAAAAGTAAATATTATATTAAGTTAAATCTATTTTATAAGTACTTCATATTCTTGCGGTAACCTTCTTGAAATACCTCTAAAACGCCCTATAATAAAATTAACAACGTTTTCTTTGAAAATAGACGGTAGACAAATATTTAAAACATAGCGTTTAATAACAAGTAGAGGATTGGTATCAAGTTATCAAATGGAGCTCGTAAATAAATTTAAGCTAACTAAAACCCATAATTTAAATTTAATATAATTTATTACTTCAATAAATACATTTTTGTTTTAAAATTTTCAAGAATATGTTATAATTTGAATATGTTTTAATATTTTATAAATATCTTGCCACAAAATATAATTGTTTTAAACCCCCTTACATCAACTCATTATGACGTCAGATGCGCACTTTTATTTTAATGATAAAATAGTTTACTTAAATTCGTAATCATCACAACAATATTTCTCACTATGTTTTCTGTCAAAAGTGACAAAAAATTAAAAGCTTGAAGAAGTTCATTTAGTTTTTTATGCTTGTTGGTATATTAGCAACTAATTGAAAATTGGAAGTTGTTCTATACTAGAATATAAAAAAATGGATTTTGAAACGGTTCCATTAAAACCTCTCAGAGACTCGCTTGAAGAAAATGAACTTATAGATAACATTAAAACTACTTCTTTAACTTGTACAAATGCTCAATACGAAATTGAAAAAGAGAAATGTTTTAAATGTTTTGATAATTGGTCTTCAGAAGACCAAATAGACTTTATTGAAGACTTGTTGTTACGTATGTCACATTACCAACATGGTCATATAAATATTTTTTTAAAACCTATGCTGCAAAGAGACTTTATATCTGCATTGCCAGGTAATACTTTTAAGAGAAAAAAATAATTTAGTTATTTGTAACGCATCAAATGTTTTACATGTACTAAGTATAAATATTTATATCTGCATACCAGAGGTAAACTTTGACATATTGAAATAATGCTATTTTCAGTTAGCTATGTGATGTACGTTTGTAACTCATACATGATGCTTTTTCTGCTGGTGAATTAAAAAATGTTATAACAATTTTATTTATTCAAATGTGTTATATATTAAAAAAAGATTGAAATTTAGTTTAAAATTAGTTTTTCACAATGGTAAACATCATTTAGTTGATCATTAACATGATGTAAGTAAAAGTTAACTCATTATTTTATTAGTAGAATTTAGAAACTTGAACTTCTGCGAACTTTGTTTTTCTATTTAAAAATACTTAAAGGTAATACAAAGTATGCCTAAAAGTATTTATTTAATAACTAGAACAAAACACATAATATCAATAAGAACTTTTCATAGTTTCCTTAATGCATCTAAATTTTTGTCATTTAAAGAATTTCTTTTATTAGTTTTACTGATGTAGAAAAATTTGTTTAAAGAGCTTCAAAAAGTAGATCTAAATATTTGGGTCTAGCTTTGCTAGCCTCAAAAACAGACATTTCTTTTTTAATAAGGTTTGATGCAATTTCTTGGTCAAGATTCATTTCAATGAAACTTTCAGTAAAAAGTTTTAGTTGTTGAGCTAAATTCAATTCAGTTTTGTTACTTCTTATGCTATCAGTTATACCATTAGTGTTTATTTCCTTGTCATCATCATTTTCAGATTGCTAAAATAAATGTTAAATAAGTGGCAAAGTTATTAATCTTTTTTAAAAATCTTGTTGCTGAATTGGTCATTTTTATACAAGCCATTCAGATTTGACATGAGATGAGTTTAGGGCCCTGCGAATCGTCAGTTTTTGTTTTGAATTGAATCTTGAATCAAAGCAGGTCTTGATTCGCGATTCAAATCACGTTTCAAATCAACATTTTGAAGTCTAAATTTAAGCATTTTTTTAAAATAATATATATTTAAAATTAAATAAAACAATTGTATAATCTCTTTATTAAAGCTTCTTGCCCTGGTTAACTTTTTTAATGACTGATTAAAAAGATATTTAAGGATAAGTAGCGTTATTTTGATAGCGTCAAAGCACAGAATATCTAAAATACCCACAACAAAAATAAAATAAGTAAGGGTTCGGTTTTTGAAAATTTTTGAATCGTATCTCGAATCATATTTTTGATTCAATTCGAAATTCCGAAGCTTTGCAGGGCCCTAGATGAGTTATATCAAAGTTTCTTTTTTTAATGATTCTATTGTCAAATAGCTGTTTAACAAGTTTATTTATAGGAGTATTAGCTTCATTCAGTTTTTTCTTTTAAATTCAATCATTATTTCAGAAATTACAAAAGATCGGCATCTCTTTTTGAAAAAGCATTAATGGCCAGTTTTAGTGGTTTTAAAGTATCGCAAACTTCATTAATATCATTGAGCTGATTTTTAGTTATAGGAAAATATATATTCATATCAATAAGAGCTATTTTAGCTTTTGTTTGCACCTCCAAAAAATGACCAAGCACAGGTCTTCTCGTAAGAGGCGTGCGATCGCACATCTTATATGACCACGCATATAGTTCTTTGTTTTAACAACTTGACTACGGTTCTTTGCAAGTTTTAGCGCGTTTAAAAAATGCCCTAAAAAACAAACAAATGCGATTTTTAATTTAAATGATTCCATAATTACAATTAAACTCCCACAAAATTTCATGAGTACTTTAATGCATCTTAATTAAAGGCAATCACTGAAAAAAATATTCAGGTTAGATTGTAAGGCAAAATGAGTACAGAAGCTATCAAAAAATAATTACAAACCATTTTATCATGGAAATAAAATTTCTAATTAAGAAATTATTTACTCAAAAAAAAGAATTACAAATATCTTGAAACAATCGCATCTGCCTACTAATTTTTTAATGAACGTTGACTTGTATATTTTTATTTATTAACGAACATCTAATTTAAGAGATTTATGTCAAATAAAATTCAAATAATTTTTATTCTAGTTAATAAGTTATTAAATATATCAAAGATGCTTGGTATATTTATTTAATTTTTATTTTTTAAAAACCTTTTTTTACACATTTGCAAAGTGCGCGCAAATTAATGATAAATGCACAATAAAATTTTTTTTTTAAATGCAAAAGTTTTAATACGCAAACAAACATTATTTCACTTTATGGAAAATAAGAAAATTTTAAAAAAAGCATGCTAAATTTTATTTATAATTAATACATTTACTTTAAACTTTTAATGTAATTGCTAAAAACATAAAAGAAACCATCATTAAACGTTAGATCGCTTTTCTCAATAAAAGAAAGCAATCGAAATGTTTGAGCATGGTTTCTTTTAAAGTTTTGGCAAAAGCATTCATTTTAAGTAAAATTATCTATGCATTTGTGAGCGCATGCAAAAACTATGCTAAAATATAATTACTTTTTTCTAAAGCGTATTTAGTTGTTTTACTTAAAAGTGACGCTATTGAAAAAAGTACTTATGTTTTGGCATTAATTTTATTTTTATATTAGTCTGTAAAATTAATTGTTTTTCATATTAAATATGTGTTTTTTATAATAAATAAAAAACTAATGATCGCAAAATTACTTTGAAAAAAATTGCTGAAGTGATACATTCATTTTGAAAAATCCTAATCAAACTGCAACGTTTGCGTAAGCAAAATTAAAGAAACGTGATGTTTGTTTTTCTGTCTGTCTTTTAAGAAATCTGTTCACTTTTATCGATTTGTCGCACCCTGCATCCTATTAATTTTTTAATTAAACTTTAAACTTGCACCACAAAATTTTATTAAATTTCATTACACTTTTAAACAGCCTAAGTTACTTACGTTTTTAAACATCAATTTCTAAAAAAATAAATAAAAAATCTGAGGAGAGGGGGGGGGGGATCCTTTCCCTCACAATGGATTTGCTCTTATATTAGCCTAGTTATTCATGGGAAGGAATGATAAAGATTATTAGAGCTGTGATAATTTTTTTTTTGACTTTAGTTTACAATTAAGTTTACATTATTCAAATGTTTTGATTTTTTTTTCTGGTTTTACCTTTATTTATTTTATCATTCTTTGAATATTTTATTTTTAGGTTAAATTTTGTATTATATATTATTTTAAGGATTTTATTCTTTTTTCAGTTTATGGATTGTTTATTTTAATTTGTTTTGTTTTTTTTAAATGCGCTAATTATCAAAATTTGCAAAGAGCCGTGGTCAAGTTGTTAAAACAAAGAAATTTGTGCGTGGTCATATAAGGCGTGCGATCGCACGCCTCTTACGAGAAGACCTGAAGCATGTTAATAGTACTACTCTGTCATGTTTTGAATTAAAAACTAAAGCTTTTTCTTTTCTAAATTTTCCAATTATATTTGTTTGAAGTTCATCATCATTGCTCACTGGTGATCTTTTTTTAATCCATCAAAAACAGCGGCTACAATGTCTTTATCAAGTTTAAATCAATTGAATTAAGCTTATCACTGATCGATTTAATGGAATTTGTTGTTGGCATTGTTCCTTAGATTCTTAAAATTCCAAATAGATTGAAACACTTTATTGTGATATAGTTCTTATATACTTCTGTTTTTTACTAAAGTATACATATCAAATATAAGACTAAATTTGCCTTTATCTTGGTTTCATTTTTAAAGAACTTGTAACTTAATTTTGATCTGAAGTGTTTAATGATAAGATTGCAAATTGTTTGAGGCTTTTAAGGGATTTGGTATCTGTGAGCACGAAATGTTGATTGAAAAGTTTCACTTTTGATATAGGTTTTAGTTGACTAAAAATTTCAGGCAGAATTTCACAGTATTTTGGCAGCAGGAATGTTTCTTGAGGTCTTGGACACTGAGTTATTGCATTAAAAAATACCAATTTCGTGTTTTGTTTTTAAATGCCTTTAAATAACAAAATTTAAAATAACCCTATGTTTCAGATCTTCTAGTTGTGCTAACATCTTTAAACTTATCAATTTTTTATTGTTTTGTACTACTAAAAATTTTTTAGCTCTTTTATAATAGTTAACTTTTGAATTGAAAATAAATTTTTATTTATTATTAATTCAAAAAGTTTTAAATATATTTTCATTAGTATTATCAATTGGGTTACTTCAACAAATAAAAATATGTATTGTACGCAACTATTTTTATTTTAAAAGATTAAGAAATTTAAAAGCAATGAACAACCGTTATAAAGTATTTGTTTACATATTCTGTTGTTTAAATTTTAAAAGTGTTACTTTACTTGTAACAACAAAAGTTGTGAGTAACGAAAACTGTCTAGTAAAAGTTACAATTCTAAAAGGGTTTTGGTATAACTGTTAAAATGTGGTAATAAAGAGCCTAATTTTAATATATATATACATGTTCAAAAAATACATGAGGAAAAAAGTTAGAACATGAACTTTTTATAAAATGGCAAAAGTTTGGAGACGTTGTTAATTTGATATTGATTATTACTGATTATTAAACTAAAATTTTAAGAGCCTGTGGCTGCTAGAACTACATTATTTTATAATAGCTAATATTTCAGTACATGCTTCCAAAACATGATGGTCAACTATGTACTTTAGATCATAGTGGCTTTGGCAGGTGACAGGTACAAAAGATGTTTAAAATATAGACTAAAATTTATCAAATTATAAAGTACAATTTAAAAAAAGTTTTCACAATAGTATTAGAAATCATTTTTTCCATTGCCAGACATTTAACGTAGTGTGGCAATCCCTTGCCAGACACCCTTAAACTTCAAAAAAATGTAACTGTGCTTACATTGTTGTATAAAAGTGGAATTTTATAAATGATTATTGGCTAACAAATAGAATATGATTCCTCATTTGCCAGACACTTTCAACAGTTCTAACCCTAACCAGGCAAACATTTATTTTTCTGATCCCTAGCCAGACAAATATTTATCTTAAATTTCAGATTAAT